TTGGAAACTAATGTGGTTACACTGAACTTATTCTTAACATAAATGGCAACGCCACCACCTTTATTAGGCCGGTCGGTACGATACACATTAAAACCATTTAAGGCAATGTCAGAGGCCAAAATAGATTTGTTTAGCCATGTTTCTGATAAAACAATGACGTCAGGGTCAGTCGAGCTCGCCCAGATACGGACAAAATCTAGTTTACCTAACAGACTGCGCACATTCAAGTGGATGAAACCCAACCCAGACCTAGCTTTAAAATCAGCAGGAGTAGCGATCTGACTACTACTACTGGGCGGACCAGGGTTAGGTTGTACATTTCCTGACAGTAATAACAACAACAAAACCAGGCATCTTTTCCTCTTAAACGACACACATACATTGTCATCTACTTTAGAAACACCGGAAAAGTCTGCGAGAGTGTGATTAGAGCTTAAGAAGCAGTCCTGAAGAACCATCATCGCAGGAAAACAAAAAAGACAAACATATTTTGTCGAGCAGATTGTCTGTGACAAGGCAACCGGTAATTGTTTGAGCAACACATCCGAACCTTTGCAGGGGATGCCCACTGCGGGTGGCAGAACAGACCTGAATCCAGTAGACTTCTCAGAATGACTAGAGATCTTCTCATAGTCCAAAACAGTTAACAGGCACAGCAGAATCCCGATATGGGCCATTTTTCCCAGACCAGCACACAGTATCCGCGATGTTCCTGGAGCAAAATCAGCACAGCAGCAAAGGACAGGCGAAAACAGCAGCGTGGAAGCGCTCCGGTCCCTCCGTAGTATCCTCGGGGTGAAAGCAGGCCTCTGCAACAGCAGAACCAGGACAGGTGGAAAGCAGGCCCCAGCAGTGGTAAAAAATCCTCCTCCGTACAGCAGCACACACCCGGTGGAAGCAGGCCAAGCCCGAAGCGTGGATCCACTCCGTCTCTCCGCGACGACTCCGGGGTAAAAACCTCTCCAGTACAGCCGTATTCTACAGGTGGGAGCAGGCCTCCGTAGATCGCAGATCGCAGGCAGCAACAGGTGGAGCCGCTCCGTCTCTTCGCGACGAGCAGGCCTCCGTAAATCGCAGATCGCATGCAGCAACAGGTGGAGCCGCTCCGTCTCTTCAAAAACACCTCAGTACAGCCGTACTCGACAGGTGGGAGTAGGCCTCCGCAGATCGCAGACAACTAAAACTACTACTTGTATAAGCAGGGGATGGCTAAAAGTTTGTAAGCAGGAGAGCTAGATGCTAACAGATGCCAGATGGTTACCATCTGGCATCCATGGTAACATTGCGAGCCTGTAGAAATTGCGACTGCCTCCAATGACAGCAAAAATGAATGAAGGAAGATTTGCATGTTTAATGGGACTTTTTGGAGGGAGAAGGGCTCTTTTCATTTAACATTTTGAATGGGACTTTGTGGGGATTTTTGGATGGGGGGTGCATTTTTGTTCGTTTTTTAATGAGTGGGGTTGGGGGGGATGAGTAATATTTAACTCAACATTCCTGTTTTCGTTCTTCAATGAAACAAATAATTGTTCAATAAAATAATTTAAACTTGTTCTGTTCTACTTAAAAAAATTAAAAATCTGTTTAAATGTCATGTTTTTTGTTTAATTTTGCATCGAATATTTTCAAAATTCCCCAGCTTAACTTCCCATGGAAACTTTCCGGAAATTTACCGGAAATGTTCCGCCCCTTTGCAACCCTAGCCCCAATAGACCTCCATAGAGATTAGAACAAATGCCATTCATTGTTTTGCATTGAAGGAAATATCAAAAGACAGTCACCAGTGTATGCATAATGCTCAATCCCATCTACTTTAGATTTCAGCTGTCACTCATTGTTTATCAACGTCATTATTCAGACAGGAGGCGTCCATTAGAAAATTGCATTCTTCAATTTACCAAAGGTATCCATTTCTTGAGAGTTTGTCCTATTTCCAAAAACTCTTAAATTAAGTTAAAGATGAAATGGCCCTTCAGTATCTACATCAGGTACTTGCAAACACAACTGAACTGCCCTTGCCTGCCCTTCTACATTTAAATTCGACTTTTGTTTTTTTTATTGGTTAAAGAATTCCCTCATCAACATCTTGCTGAGCCATTTAATCTCTTCAAGGATCCACCACCATATGTGTGGCGTCAACATGCCCTGACAGACTGTGATGTGGCATGAGGAGATTGAGGAGTAATACCTGATCTTAAGCTTGAACCGCATAAACTCTACTGGCCTTTCCCACTCATATCCACACCTTAAGCTTCACACATGGCCATGGTCCCAAAGCAATCTGGTCGGACGTAAACATCAACATGGCGCACATATTATAAATCCTCCTGCACAGACATGCATTGTTTGATTTCCTTCCCGCCACTTGGCTCTGGTGAGCCTTCATCTGATTAAAAGCCACAGTTGTCATGCCAACACATTTTTGGCAAGTACCAAAACAGAGTGGCAGTGTAATGTACAGGCTACTGACCCAGCGGGGAAGTACCTGTAAGGGCATTTTACAGGTACATGCATGCATGCTTTTTTGCTGTGTGGCCTTTGCTTGTGTGGCTTCAGGCTATTGTTTCTGCTTTAGCAAGATACAGAAGAAAGCCAATACATGTACAAGTAGACACAAAGAATCAGTTAACACCATAATTCAGCCACAAATAATACTGTTTTACTGTTACAGCAGCAGGGAAATTCTCTTTTTGGTCTGTTTCATTTTCAGTGTTATGCAGACTCTCTGCTATCAGACGCTGAGGGAAATGTGAGGATTATAAAGCCTATTATGCAACAAAAAACTTTGGGGTGGTTTTTGTGTGTGCTTGCGAGTGTGTGAGAGTGTTTCACTGACCTTTTCTTGATTTCATGAACAATCAAGGAATTGGCTTGATTCCTGCAGTTATCATGTTTTGTTCAAAGTTATTGAGGCTGATGTGTGTATTACATAATGTGTGTGTGTGAGGCAGAACAGTCCACGGTGTATACTGTAGGTGTAGACAGATCTTTTAGACGAGACGGTGACTTTTGCTTGCTTTCTTAGATGGTCAGTTCCATCCATATTGTCAGGTGTGGGTGTCAGGGACCAGAAATGGATTAGTAGTGGGGTGATAAGGCCAGGAGTGAGGGAAGTGAGCGAGGGTGGCCTGGAAGATCAAT